TTGCCCTAGTGGTATTGCAGGATGGGTCAAATGCAGAGGACAAATTACCAAGCAGAATACCTCAACCTGAGTAAAACTAGAGCAATGTCCACAAAGCACTTTTATTACGTGTAGAACTTATAAATACACCTAAAAGTGTCTGGGTCTGTGTGTGTGTGTGTGTTTGTGTATGCACGCAACCATCTGTCCTGGTCTGTCTCCCCAATGTGCATAGACATAAAGTGTTGCATGTGCGCCCATCCAGCAGCAAACACATTCCTGGTTTCCGCACACAACGGCTTGAATGTAAAGTTTGACGGTCCGCATCATCAGTAATGTCTGTTTGGATTGTGGTTCACAGTTTAACATGGCGTGCAGTCTCCTGGGCATGTATAGGTGGTTCTATGCGTTGTGCTTTGAGAATCACTGCATCAGTCGGATATAAAATCTCCGACTTACTCCGAATATCCTATCTTAAGCAGGTTGCTAAGTTTTAACTACATGATATGTGTAATGTGTAGGTTCTTTTGCTTGTTGTTGAAATAGTATTAACAATATAATGAACAACACGGAGAATCTTTGAGAAACAAGTTAAACATGTGATGAGAGTTTATTGTCTTTTAAATTTGTCGTAAATGAGTAAGAAATCCATCCATCCATCCATTTAGTAAGAAATCCATCCATCCATCCATTTTCTACCCTTTAATCCATTTCTGGGTCAGGGGGGTGGCAATCAGAGATGCCACCCAAGTCTCATAGCACCAGCTCCTCACTGACCCTCTGCAGGTGGTGAGTCCACAGGAGGATGGCTGCTCTCTGAGTGAGAGCATAGCCTTGATCTTTCAGTGGGGGCTTCAGGCAAAGTGGGGTTAAGTGTCTTGCCCAAGGACACAACGACAGCAGTGGGAGTCGGTGGAGAAGGTGTGGAGGTGGGAGTAAGAAATGTTTATTTATATAGTGCATTTTTACAGACCAAGGTCACCCAAAGCGCTTTACAATTGTTCAGAGTTCATATACTGTATTTTTCCATTCTCTCCACGCACAGTGATGACGGAAGCAAGTTGCTGAACACTCTGGCACACCAAAGCCTCCGACCAACCATTATCCATTCACTAATTACATTGGCAGGGCACTACATTACATTACATTCATACCTATTGTGCATGTCTTTAGAGCATACAAACTCCAGTCAGAAAGGTCTTGTTCCAACTGGGATTTGAACCCAAGAACTTCTTGCTTAGAAGCAAGAGTCCACTCAGCCACCGCGCCGCCCAAAGTGGTAGTAGTACTAAATCTACAGGGGATTTTTTGGACAACTACAATTGCTTTGAGGCTAAAGGCAAAAATTACATCACTGTATTTCTTTTAAACACCGCTAGCTCATTATCATATATCTAATGAATTTGGAATGCAATGTCAGAGAAATATTAGCCCCTATTTCACCAAAGATCAAGTCGGTCAACAGCAGATATGTGTGGCTTTGACCCTAAATTCCTGCATGTGTCTAGTTTAGGCAATGGGTACAACAAGGTAAACGTACTGTATTGAATATAGTTATGTCAGAAAGATCTGCAACTTATGCACATTTGGAAATGAATAAACAAATGGCAGGGAACGTCTCCTTTATGTATGTCCCTATTCATTATTCAGACAAATACAAAATACATGTGGAGTACTCATTACCAGTCAAAGAACGCATGAGCAGCAGAGATCTGGGACCTACAAGAGAAATACATTTGACTTCATACAGTATGGAAGCTAATGCACAGACGGGTCATACATAATTCACTCAGGAAAATAACATGCTATTTCTATGCAGAATCCGTGTAGCTATAACTTTAAAGAATGTCGTTGGGGGTTAACATTGAAGTCTAACAATTACATGGATTAACAGCGATATCATGAACTTCAAATGTGTTTTAGTTTTAGAAAAGGCGTATTTTTTCCTTATCTTGTACTACAACCACTGCAAGTAAGATTTGAAGGAGAAGAAGAGTTAGACCACAGATGGCATCCAGTCAGGATTCCAGACACTTGCTGCATAGATGTTGTATGAAATAAAACAGACTATGAAAAGTATGGCATTATTACTGAAGCCATCAAATCACGTTATTCTGCTATTCAGTAAGAAGTAAGTAAGTATACTTTATATATATAGCGCCTTTCTCAGACCAGAATCACAAAGCACCTTACAATTTTTCTTTAATTTTTTTTTTTTTCCGGTGGACAATAAAAAGATAGATAAATCAGCACTGACAGTCATCGCAACAACATTTCAGTTTCAATGTGTTCACACTTGAACTGGATCTTTCAACCAGAAGTAAACCTGGAGAGGACTTTATAGGACTAAATATGGGATCAAACCAGGACATTATAGTGTAAGCCTGTAGGATGGTAAAAGAGACCTCTATACAGATCTTGTTACATTCTGATTTAATGGGTGATACAGAAGACCTTTTCAACAGAAGTAGGTGACATCTTAATTAACCTCAGAAAGGACCAGTCCCCTGCAGCATTACATCATGCCTGATCTCACCCCTGCTGAAAGAGAGCACACATGAGCTTTTCCTGAAGAATCCTTTTACATAAGAATAATTTAGAAATGAGAGCCTTCATTTAAGGTGCATATATTAGTGAGTTTTATAAGTGTTGTATCTGTTGAGATCATTTTTGTTGTTTTAGAAAAAAACAAAGACAATCATTTGGTCAAGAAAACCAATCAATAAGTTGTGTTTTCGACCTATCGAACGTTATGACTGGCGTTACCGGTCATAACGCCAAATTATTTTGACCAAAATATTGATCTGAATCGGAAACAGAATCCAGTTAGCCAACTACTATCAATCATTGACGGACACATCAGACTGATACGAGGCAATGTGGGTGAAGTGTCTTTGTACAGATTGCTGCTGTACAGCTGCAGTCGTGCCACTGTTGCACCTGGTGTTCCAAGTGGTCTCCCATCACAGCACTAACCCTGCCTTGTCTTGCTTAGAGTCTGAGGTCTGATAGGATCAAGTTTTTTGCATACTGGTGGCACCATAGACAAATAAAACTTGTCAAGGTGAATACTATGCAGATACCATGTGTGTTTTTATCAAATATATTTTGGTTATTCTGATATAATTGAAGTTATGTTACAATAAGTTAGTCAATCGAACAAATAACTAGTAATATTGTGCATGTAATATGATATAAAATATAATACATGTACTGCACATACTGTAATCTGGATTTTGAACAATTTTAAGGAGATTTTCAATAAATGATCTGGCTCTATGTACATCCACCCTGCATTGCAACACTGACATTTCTGACTTTTTGACTTTTCGAACCCACACAAGTATTTATCATAACTTTTAGATTTGGTAATGTTTTTTACTCCCAACCTGGCCAGTGAAGAATACAGCAGAGATACTGTAACCGGTGTCATACCTCCCTGGTATCTTTCTGCTCTCTGATTAGGGAATACCGCTTTAATGTAATTACACTGTGCTTTGAAGATTAATTTTGTTGGAGATGGCAAGCTGCGCTACGTCGGCGTCGAAGAACATTATCTATAATCACACGCACTTCAGAATGTGAGCTGGAGCCGGTCCCTCTGCTGTGGACCACGGGCAGGCGGCACAAATGTGTTGTGTTTGTGTTTATGAAAGGGCCTGAAGTGCATTCAGCACCTGCGAGGCCAGATGTTTGTGTAACGTATATAAAGACATTTAGGCCTACATCAAACAACTAAGACATGCTAATTGATAGTTGAATATTGTGGTTTATTTGTTTTCAGTTTATGATTTGAAAATGATTTTGAGCTCCATCATCTGTTATTATTGTAAGATCTACATCTAAGTCTCAACTGTTCATTCACCAAGACTAAGGCACAATAGGTTTGGATTACTCAGGTTCATTCGTTGCAAAAATGGGGGGAAATGCTTCTCAGATCAAATACATAATAAGTGAAGTGAATAGTGGAAACATAATACTATTCAAGGCAACTCAGTAGGACACTATGAAATCTGTATGACTGTATACATGTGTGCGATGTTGATATGAAATCGTGATATGAAATCGTATAGTGATCTAAAACAATGTAATAACAATACATTGTACATTTCTCATATCTATTATAACCTGCTGTATTGCGATATATTTTTCATGTTTGCATATTTCCTGTCTTTTTGCACACCCTGAGTGATCCTATTTATGCCAAATGCAATATGTACATTTCTCCATTGTAACATCCATATAGTTTTATCTTGTTTTATGTTACTGCCCTTTTCCAGATAATATTAGTGATGCAGCATTCTTAGGCCCCATTTAGACGGAGACGCTGCTGAGACGCTACAAAGCATTTTGAGTAGAATCTCCTCCGAAGCACACAAAGCATTAGTGCACCCACCGCCATGGTTGCTTACGCTTGTTCTCGGCTACTGCGCATGTCCAAATGTATACCTGCAGGGAAGCGGTGAGGTCATAGCATCCGTGTGAACGAAAGGCTAATCCGATACCCAACTCTATCGTATTACTGTCAAAGGCAGTGTCTCAGTGTAAACAGCGCATTATATTCATGGAACCAAAGGATAATGGATGGATGAATATGGTACAAATGAGATTTGTTGAAGCTACAGATCCATATCTTCTCTATAATCTTCCACAGTAAAAATAAGGGTTCTCTGTTGAGAGTTTATATCTTGAAACCAACCAAATCAATGAAACAAAACACCAGAACACTTGGAAAATTCATTCTAGTAACTAATATAAAGGTCGCACACTCACAAAAGATAACCAATACCTTTGACCAATAGTCCAGACCATTCTGTTGTTTCTAAAGAGCATGCAACTGAAAACAATCATCAATAGAGAAGAAAAATAAAATAAATCACAGGCACCATCACACAAGCGACATAACAAAATGTCAGCTCTATTGACTTAAAAACAGAGTAGACTTTTTCACATTCAAAACAGCAGCATGAGTCCAGTGTTTATGAGAGTGGTTGGTGTTTACAACATGACTGATCACATACCCTGCTGACCCCACGGCCTCTGTCCTCGCCATAGTTGGTTCCCAGAATCTCAAAGAAGATATTGGGGTTTGTGCCATTGTCCGTGAACTCCAGAAAACTGGTGAGGCCGCTGACCCCAAACTGGAAACAAATATCAAAATAAATAAATAGATGCATCAATGTACTATTTTCCACATTGACAATCTGTGCATTTACAAACAGAGAATAATAGTTGGGTGCAGCTCCAAAAGACTTTGACAGGAGCAACAACAAAGTGGTGAGGGAGAATGTGCCCTCTTTTCCCTGGACATGGAGAGGCTGAGTAACCGTGGCAGTAACCCTGGCTCTGAGACTGAGAGGTGTGAGACCGTTTGGAGTGAGTCGTGTTAGATTACGGCTTTGTGGCATGGACCTGAACTCAAGGGCAACTTTCACATTAGCCTTTAACAAAGATTCTTTCACCTGGAGCAGTTGTTTGTGTGAATATCCCTTCTGATGTCAGAGGGAGAAGAAGGTTCAGGCAGATATTTATCGGATTTCATTTCATTTTTCTTTACACTATTTATGTTATTGGTGTTAGTAGTATCTCTTATAAAGTGCTAGAGTTTGACCTTTTTATTTTTCACATCAAATTCCTGAAAGCAGGGATAAAACATTAATTTCTCCTCTAAAAAAACAATGTATTTTATGTGAGAACAAACTACTGTCCCTTTTTTCTTAATCAATGTAATCAAGGATGTTTAGAGGCTAAACCTATGATGCCTTGCCGTGCATTGGTTGGGCAGGCCCCTATAGTATAAAGTATTTGTCCTGGCATCATGCAGCCATGAGCTCATTCCCTTGATAATTGTTAGCTCATGGGAAAACAATCCAAACAAAATTAAATATATGAGATTGAAATCAAGGTGTCAGTAGCACTCAGAATCTCATTTAAGAATAACATTTGTATGGTGAATTTGTACAGAACATGAATGATTCCAAGCTGCAGCCATCTCTCCTCTGAGGTTAACTCCACCATTTAACCTGCACCATTCCAGAGCACCACTGATTGTTTTGAATAAGCCTTAAGCTAGGTCAACACACCTTTAACTGCAAATGAGGACCTGGCTTCACATGGTAGAGGCACTGCACCTCTTGCACAATAGAAGAGAACTCTATTAGCAGTGTGTCTATGTTGCAGCGGCTATCACAGTGACGAAAGTATTGCTCCCATGCTCTCGAGGCAAAATGCACAGATAGATATTGAAGATGTGGCAGCCTCGTTTATTATTGTCGACTGACACTAATCCAAAATTAGCATTTCACATGGCTTTATCGTTCAGTTGGAGAACCATCCCTCAAGTCGTTTTTTTATTGATATCAAAACACAGGGCATCGATCCAATTGGATTTTAGAGTGATGAAAGCGTTGCTAAAGCACAGACTAAACTCAAGGTGAAAAAGTGTTTTATAAAAACACAGCTGCGGGGCAATACACCATGTCAGTTAAAGGTTCAGGAAATGAAGAGAACAGCTATTGATAGAGCACTTGTGAAGGTTTCTGTTTAATGTGTGTTTTGTTGGGTGAATTTTTAGGAGGAAACCCATTCATAGTATTGTTAAATATGTAGGACTGTACTGAATTCTAAACAGGTGGTTTCAAATCAATCAATCAATCAAATTTTATTTATAAAGCGCTTTTCATACAAAAAGTGTAACACAAAGTGCTTTACAGTTTAGTTAAAAACAATCCAACATGCCCAGCCCTAAACCCTCCTCCCCACAGACCCCCCAAAACCACATTTATAAATATATATACAACCACATGCGTATACACACACACACATATACACACACACACACACACATACACAAGTATAAAGTCATATCAGGTAAAATAGGTAAAACAATAAAAAGAAATGGGGCTGGGAGCAGATGTAACCGGCTGAAGAAGCGTCATCCAAGGAGCCATCTGCACCAGGAGCAGAGAGCCGGCTGCAGCCACAGGGAACGACACAGGACCCAGAGGAGAGAGGGGCCCCAGACCCCACCAGGCCCAGGACTCAGACCCCATAGGACCCAGAGGAGAGAGGAGGCCCCAGACCCCCACCGGATCCAAGAGCCAGACCCCCGAAGCCACAGCAGACCCCAGCTCTCAGTGCAGAGGGCTCCTCCAGAGGAAACACTGGGGACACTAAAACAATACAATAATACAATAGAAAGTAGAACAATAAAATGTGACAATAAAAAGAAAAATGGCAGCTGCCTAATATTGATTATAACAATAGTAAATGGGTAGATACAATAAATAGTTAAAAATAGTAAATAATAAAAATAAATAAAAATATAATGTGTCTAAAAACATAAATAGATGTACTAAAAAGCAATAATAAATAATAAATACTAATCAAAAGCTATTCTAAAAAGGTGCGTCTTGAGCCTACTCTTAAAAATATGAACGTTCTCTGCGGCCCTGAGCTCCTCCGGCAGACTGTTCCAGAGACGGGGGCCGTAGTGCTGGAAAGATGCCTCGCCGTGAGTGTGTGTCCTGACTTTGGGGATGGTTAGGAGTCTGCTGCCGGAGGAGCGCAGGGGCCGGGACTGGATAGTCACTGGATAGTCAAAACATTGACCAATCAATTTAACTGGAGTTCTATGTGTCTTAATTAAGATTCTTAAGATAAATCCGCAGAATTAACAAATTCATGACTGGTTTATTTTTCTTCATGCTGCGTACCTTCTTGACTGTGTCCAGCATGCTCTTGCCTCCTTGCCAGGGCTTGGTGTTCTTGCGGATGCAGTTCAGACTGGCCATGCTGTGCCACTTGCGGTCCTCCAGTTTACGATGGAAGGTGTTGGCCAGCAGAAGCACAGAGTCATAGATGTACTTATTTGTGATCTGGAAACACAGAGACATTGGTTAACACTTTGAGTTGGGGCTTTATTATTTGGTAACACTGCAATCAACAAGGTTAAAGTATCTCTGTAGGGAGCTGTGCCCTGCCATCTGGGGGTGGGTCTCCAGGTATTGCACTGACAGGTTGCCCTATAGAGGCAATGAAAGATGGGTCAAATGCAGAGGAAAACATTCCCTACAGGCACAATGTTATGTTACAGTAACTGTTTGGCTATTACCAAATGATGATGGATCTATTTTACACATAATATTTTGCAAGTCATATATATCTTGTGATTTAGTTTCACATAGATCTGCTTTGATCTACAGTATGTGGTCCAGGTTCTTTGATGAGCAAAGAACCAATTCCCAATCAGTCCTCCATCTCAGATCCAAGTCCATGGCATTGTGTATGTAAGCTGATGTACACACCCATGCACACTTTTAATTTGACCATATTTTAGAGAAGATAACACAATACTTGATCACTCATCATATTATCGAATAAACACCTTTTCTATTTTCAAACTCACATTAACATTGATTATGTGCTCTGGGAATAACATGCAATTCATGCAAGGCAACCTGGGAATTTCATAAAACTGAAGGTTTTTGTTGAGAAGAATTTGTAAGTTTACAATCAGAGAAAGGATAATAGACTTCATCCATAACCACCATAAAAGACTCCAAGCTGTCATAAATGTTAAAGGGAAAAATACAAAAAAAAAAAATTCAAACAAAATTGAGAAATGAAAGATGTAAACCATTAGTCACTGTTACTGTCAATGTATTTGGAAATAGAAAAACCATTTGAGGCTAGAATATTGCATAAACCTCACATTTGAAAGTAATTCAAATATATTAGTTGAAAAAAATAAGTCAGCTTTATACCAGATGCATAGTAATGAAAGAACCTGCTAATTATGCCCATAGCAATTGTATGTAGAACAATAATGTATTGTACTTCCTTTGGATAATTGAAAGCATTATTGAAACGAGTGCCGTGCAGTAGAAGTCAGCGTAAGGGATTTGAAGCATGTCTGTACCATTACTCAGGTACGGTATATGCTCATTGTTCTACACATAATGACTTAGCCATTGAAAGGGCTTCAACATTTAAACGGTTTCAATGCGAAATATAGCCCCTTTTTCCTATAACGAGCATATTCTTTTTTCGTTAAAATGGAAGGACTTGGGAGAAAAATGCCTCATGAATTTTCAAAGACCAGCGAAGAAAATGTGTTACACTTACCATGATTACTTCTGCATGAAGAAGTATGATATAAGATGTTAGCAGTTAGAATCATCAATCAGCTTTGAACAATTCATAGATTTTTTGAAACCTAATGTATGTAATACACAGAAAATGGTTTTCGGCTATTTATATGCGTGTTTACCAAATAATTTGGGGAGACTTGGGGTAAATAATATGGAGTGTCCCCTCAAGACACATGGACCTGAACGTGGGTGTGCTTGATGTGCTTCATTGCAGTGTGAAATTGGGCTTCTGGGCCACTGTCTGACCACCTCCCCTTTACCATTATCTCTCTCCTTCGTTTTCTCCTTTCTCACAACCAACCCCCCCTGTGATGGACGGCCTGCCTCCACATGCATCTTCACTTTAACATGTAGATGAACATAGGCCTCGCCTCCATCCATTGGGATTTGGCATGACCATGATGATGGTCTTTTTTGATACATTCTACCAGGTGTTTTGTATGACTTAGCCTGGGTTTAGCTCAGGTATTTCCGTTTTACAATATGAATGTGGTAATTATAAAAAGAGCTTAGGATGCATCATGTTACCCAATTGTACATTTGATTCCATCCATCCATCCATCCATTTTCTACCCTTTAATCCATTTCTGGGTCAGGGGGGTGGCAGTCAGAGATGCCACCCAAGTCTCATAGCACCAGCCCCTCACTGACCCTCTGCAGGTGGTGAGTCCACAGGAGGACGGCTGCTCTCTGAGTGTGAGCATAGCCTTGATCTTTGACATTTGATTCCATTATCTATTATCTTCTTGCTGAAGTATATATTTTTTGCCATAGGTTTAGATCTAAAAAAAAAAATCAAGTTGGAGCATTATTTTGATGTCCAGTAAAGATGTTTGGTCATGAAGATATACATTAGAAATCCCCAGTCTTTTCTTTCAGCATAATTCATTCGCCCACTCTCCTTCCGCACAAACAACAAGCTGTGGTCCGCCATTTCTGAACCCCCCACTCACCCTAGTGACACAAGTTCCACCAACATGGGCTAACACTGGGCCCCAGTAGCCCACACATAATGAAGCCATTCAGCAGGCTTGCTTTTTGATAATAGCTTTTACACTTGAGGAGCTCTTGATTCATATTAGTAACACAAAGAGCGCAATTTCTTATTTATTTTTTAGGCTATTCGATGCTTGAGGGCCCTGCAGCTACAGCCTGCAAAATTAAATCTATCAAAGATGTTTTTCTCACTCATGATCATGATCTTTGGGTAATGACTAAAAAGACAAGTCCGCAGATACTAGGAGGATCTGTTTTGGTCATGTCCCATCGGGATGAGACTTCGGGATAGACCCAGGACGAGGAACAATGTCTCTGCCGGATGGATTGGTGCCCCTGCGACCCAGCAATTGATAAACCATTGGAAAACGGATGAAGTGTAAACACAGTGACACGATCAATCTAAAACTATACAAGAGCACTGATTATATTCATTGTTTTTATTGGATTAAAACCACAAATATCAACCCCAAGCTCTACAAATCCGTGTTGATACAATAATGTGTGTGTTTTTAAAAAAGACTCCACTTTGAAGTATTCTCCGTATCCATGCATTCACCTCAGGCTCTTGGGCATCCACAAAAATCCACATCACTTCATTCCATCTCAGATCATACCCATAACAAATACATAATTTTTTTTTCTTCTGGTTTGTTGTTTGTCTGGAGCTCGGCAAGTCACACAAACATATAATGATAATAATAATTCCATATATTGCCATGGAGGGGACAAATGGTGAAGAGAGAGCGGGGGCATTATGCACGAATTGATGAATGCTAATAAAGATGGGGTGAAGCAAGCAATCAGCAAAATTCAACAAAAGCCATGGTTTTTGGTCCATCGCAACCACCTAAGCAGCCACATTAGTCGAGAATGTGATATGGTCGGATTATGCATGTCCCTGATTGGATACCAGTCTTGATTTTATAGTGCAGTAGAGGCAATATGTTCTATTGGACTTTCCAATTGTTTTTTTTATAATCAGGATTATTAATGCATTCATTATTCATTCATTATCTTCCCGTTTATTAATCAATTTCTTGGCTCATAACACCAGTCCCATGCTGATCCGCTGGCAGATGCTGAGTCCACAGGAAGATGGCTGCTCCATCAGCGATGTCACAGCCTTGTTTATTCAGAGGGGACATTGGGCAAAGTGGGGTTAAGTGTCTTGCCCAGAGACACAACAACAGCAGACATAAGTGGGAGCAGGTCTCGCTGTAGGATCGAACCCACAACCTTGAGTAGCTCTGCCAACTGAGCTACTGTCATCCCAGCCCAGATTATTGATTGATTTGAGATTTTACAAGAATTTTTTTTTTGTTACAGAAAGACAGAAATCAATATGTATGTTAAAAACAGTATTCCATTCTCACAGGGAACTGATAACATTAGCCTGCCTGATGACTTTTGCCTGTTCAGATCTCTTGTGACTTCTCCTCATATGGCAAGGGCCTGCTTTTACTTCAACTTGCAGTGCTCTTAAGAGTTTTCTAAGTTTAAAAAAGATGCATTGCCTCACACTTCTCAACTTTATGGTAATTGAGTTCATTTTGTCCATATATCACTTGCACATTCGTTTGGTTGGGTGGACCACATGGCCACACATATGGGTCTATGAAAAAGGCTGCCAATAAGATGATATATGAATCCCCTCAAGGCAGGATTGGAGCATAAATATTCTCCAGTGACCATATTTGGGGAAATGGATACCCACCTCCAGCTGTTGGGCTCGGGGGTTCTTGGGGTCGCACAGAGAGGTGTTGATTCGGTGGTTGTGCTTAACGCAGCGCTGAGTGGTATTCTGAGGCATGGGAAAAGTCTGCCGAATCAAAGTCAGGCGCCCGATTGATTTCATCACCAACTCCTGCAAGTCGTAATCTGTAATTTCCTGAAAGAAAAAAGCAGAGTGAGATTAGAATTTAAAGATGTGCAAAAATGACAAATCCTTCATCATAATTGGAGTACGATTATACAGTATGAAGGAAAGAAAAAGCATTCTGGCAGTATAAGACCACCAGAGGTTTAACGTCCTGGTTAGAAGATTAAATTGTGGGCTGATTTTACGTCACATTGAATACTCAAAGTTAAACAAATTGTGGTTTTGATTTGATAAAACATGAGGAAACTAATCCTTGACACCAACCTGTTAAAAACAAAGCAGATTATTCAAGATTGAGGAACAGGAAGGAAAGACAAAACAGGGGACTTGTCTTCTCTTATAAAACACTATTACATTTGAGGAGGCGTCTGCGGTCAGTGCACTGTGTACAGGACCAGAGGAAATGATATTATAATACACTCCTTATAAATACAATGTACCTGTGCTCGCTTGTCTGTCCCCGCAGATCCAAAATGTGAAGGCTGATAGGGTAAAATTCCATTAGATATATATATATTTTTTAATTCTGTCGGGTTACTGCTGCTAAAGTACAAAATCAACCATTTATGAATACAGTATGTAACTTTCTGACTGCTAACAAGTGTATTCTCCACAACTGTACTGATCTTAACACAAGTCTAACTATAGCCTAATTATTTTATATTATGATCATTTTTTTTATTTTGATCTATTATATATAATAAAAAATCTATAATAATATATTTGTTTGATGTGTGCTCAACCTGAGTTATCTTAATTCTCCTTTTATTTTGCTGTAATTTGCGCAACAATGACACTAAGATTTCCCCGCTGAGGGACAAATAAAGGTTATCTTATCTTATCTTTTCCCCTCTTGCAGTCCTCTGACTCTCTCCCACCGCTTGCATCTATGATGAGCTAATATCACACTGGGGACCCACATGATTGGCCCTCTGTTCAAATGCTGAGTTGACCCTTGTCAACAGTATGAAGGCTATACATATTTAGACCAACGTTTAAAGGCGGGTTAAGGAGGAGGCGTCTGCAGTCAACGTGCTGTGTCCACAACGAGAGGAAATTGTATTTTAATGGACTACATTCACAGTGCATTCTAAAGCCAACATTACATGTGGATACTTTGGCCAATTGTGTATTCAACGAAATGTAAATGTCTCTTAAAAGTTAGATCACAATGATAGGAAAAAAAATAGATTAAATTGTCTTTAGACTGAATTAATTTGTTGGAATTAAATACAGCGATCATACTAAGTTGATGTGATCATTCCTTATACATGATACACATATATTTTCAAATACTTCTAAAATGAAATCCCTGGCAATGAAAAAATGAAATCCCTAGTGCTTAAAGTTCCATAACCGTGGCTCACAGCACATCTGACAGGCTGCAGGTGCATACTGCTCTCCTCTTTCACGACACGTGCAAGTAAACTACAGACAAATGATGTATGTATTAATTACAATACGGCGTTAATAAATTGTGTGAGAACAGGTGACAGAAATTTTTAAAGATGTATTAAGAGAACTACACAAACGGGCTGTATCTGATTGAGGTTTCAACTGTGACTTTCGTTCATCAAACATGAATAAGTAAACACCTATTCTCATGCGTCCATTCATGTCGTGAATGATCATTGATATTGTGCACAATTGTGATATGAATATTGGTCCGATCTCTGTGTAGTCGTGTAGTAGATTGTCTTTTTGTGAAATAAATTAGTGCAATATTAAAGTTTGATGTTTTTATCACTGGGGAACGGACCAGCTTCTTATTAAACCCTTAAAAAATAAATAAATAAAAAACCCTAACAAAAACATTTAAATGTAGATGATGATAATTAGGGGAGCACAGGTTAAGCAGATGCAAGTGTAGTGGCAGTGTGGCCTGTACACTCCACGTCCTTGTGGAAGAGGCGAGGCATCAGTGTTAATATTAGCCCGAGGACACTCTCTGTGCCTGGGTGTACGTCCTCAGATCCCCATTCATCCTGTGGGGGTGTGGCGGGTCAGGCGCTGACGAGATCAGAAGTGACGCTTATCGTCCCCAGAGGAGCAAACATGGCCACCAACCGCGACGCCCTCTGCCTCGTCTGTACGCTCCACATGTGTGCACGCCACTAATCCATCCCTCTCTCTAAGTAAGTCTTGATAGGATTATTTAGAGATTCTTACCACATGACACTATGGATGTTGGTGCAGCAACTGAATACAGTTTAAAGTCATGGATGACTGCAAACACTTGCTGAAGGCAATTTCTATTGAATATATAATTATACATGTACAATATATAAGGTAGAGTTTAAAACTAGAATGCAAATTGTGTTTCCCTAACATGTTTCAGATCAATTAATTGTACCTACATTTGGCAATGAGCAAATATGACTGTCCACATTGTTCACATAAGTGTCCAGCTTCCATTCTTCGTGTATTTCAACATGACATTGAAGGATAGATCCTATCGGAAGGCTAAAGGATTAACCAATGTTCAAAAGCCCCGGCGCACTCCCTGTTCTTAAAAGGCCCATATCACGGCTTTTGACTTTTCTCTGCTTTAAACATGATTACAATGCTATTTGGCCTTCATACACATGCCCAGAGTAGTTTATTCATTGATTCTGTCAATCTTTAGTTAGAGAGCGATCTGTCTCCTTCCCCAGCGAGAGGCAGTGAAACGCTCGGGTCCACTTCAGTGACGAAAACCACTCTGATGACGCATATGACACGTTTGCTTATATATACACAATAAGTATGCTGTTTGTTGTCAAAAATAATAAACATAAAAAACAGTAAAAGCCGGCGGGAGGTGATTGACAGATAAAAGCAGCGAATCAGAGCACGTAGCCAGCTCTGGAGTCCGGCTCCTGAGTCCAGCGTCTGTGGCTTGGTCTCGCGGACACCACATTGAGCTTCTGTTTTTCCGCTTTTGTCAGCAACTAAAAGTGTTAGGATCACGTCAACTTGGATGAAATGTGTTATGGGTGTAAATATGTGACGCACTATTTGGCCCGAAGAGGAAGAAAGCAGCTCAACTTTTTTCATCTGTTCATCTCATGGATCTATTATAAACCGGTTCATCTGCGACACTTTACTGAGACTGTTCCAGAACTACAAGGACAATGGAACTGGACTTTACACAGAAATAACACAGACCCCCAATCTGTAAGTACAGTGATGCTAACACGGAGCCCCCGATCTGTAAGTACAGTGATGCTAAACTAAATAATTAGGGTCTGATTGTGCATCGAGGACATAGGGCTCGAAGTGACGGATTGTCATTGTTGGAAAAACTTCATTCTTATGTCTGAAATGACTCTGTTCCGACTCTGTGATAAACGACAAGAGCGTGATGCTACGTCACTGTGCGGGCGGGGGGAGGTGGGCTCACAGACAGAGGAGCAGACTCTCTTCTGGATCAGCTCGTTTGAGTCGAGGTGACGTCACATTTAGACAAGAGATGGCTCTAATCTCACAAGTTTTGAGTGTTGTGTTGTGTATCACACACATTATTATCACACATGTGCATAAGATTGAGTGTGAAACATGAAGAAAAGCGTGATATAGGACCTTTAAGAGGAGTGAGGACACAATGGCAACTTGCTGCTATCCCACAGCTCTTTTAGCAGGAATTCACATGTTTATACAGTATACAGTATTAATACTACTGCAGTGAAACTACTACTACTTCTCCTTTCACTACTATTCCAATGATGTTGAATCTTTACACATATTCATATAATAGGTTTTGGGTAAGTTTCATGAGCAACAGAGCAAAATATTACACATCATCAAAACAGAGTGAGCTGCTTTTGAAACTTTAACAGAAGCTTCTCTTTGAATTGAGAGTCATTAAGAGGACATTCAAATGAGGAAACATACATCCGCCATGGTCATGGTCATGGTCTCACTCGTGACTCGCGTGTTGTAGGTCGGTGCCGGTGACGTCAAGAGTTTGCGCCGAATGGGCAGGTTGTAGTTTGGCAATGGTGAAGATTGCGATAGTAAAGTAATCCGGTCTGGTTCTATCAAGAAATTGAAGCAGGAGCATGAGGAATGTTTAGCAAATGTAATCGCTGGTCAAGATTGTGGCGCTACTCCCCACGGGCTCCGTTAGCGGCAAATCTAGGCTAGGCTAGGCTAAATGCTAATGCTAACAACTCACTCGGGCGCATTACATGCGTCCCGGTAAACTCAGATCCAATCGTTTCAATCTGCAAAAGGAGTTAACCCCTCCCACCTGTTCACGGAGCTCAATGGAGCAAATCCAGACCTTAGGATGAAATGAAATTTGTACTAAGTTGTGGTACAACCAGGCTATCCATTACCAAATAAAGTCAAAGAAATTAAAGTGTAGGATAAATTAAAATGACCTCTTTCCTCAATCAAAGACATTTTGTTGTATATTGAGACATATTATAACTTCTGTCTCAACTGTGTGTAAATCCTTGTGGTTCAGGTTTATTGTGGGCAAGAATGTTTTAAGATAAGTGCCATGGCAACACCCTTCCCCCAACGACTCTACAACAAGGGAAGACAACCCAGTCTGCTTTGGAACCACGGAGTGACGAGACCTCCCTGGGCTCTGCCCTGGGCTCTGCTCAGGCAACCAAGGGGCTTTGGGCCTCTTAGATGGCCTCAAACCTCAGCTCCACGTTTGAGAGGACTTCCACAACCCTTCAATAGCCTCCAGCTTCAACCTGAAGAAGTTGCTGAGTTTTGGCACCTAGACTGTGGATCGTGGGAGGACCGCATGAGGCAGCCGCATGGTCCAGGCCCTGGGGACAAGAAGCCTCCATCCAACGCCATCAAGACCCAAGGACTGCTATTCACCCAAGGCTATTCTGGTTGTATGATCTGCGCTCTTGCTACACACAGCTGTTGGCTTTATTAAAACCTATACTTCAAAGAATACTTCTCCTACCAAGGCTGAACACATGCAGGCCTCAGCCTATACCAATCCATTCATAGACAAAGGCCTTGCTAAGCTCACCTTAGCCTAGCATTTTAACAATGTA